ACTGATTGAATACAATCCTCTGTCACTGCCCCTTGTCTTCTCTCCCTGAACTCACTTACTTAATGGCACGCATGAATCAGGAATGCTGACAGATACACGCATACCTTTTAATATCTCACAAGGCACATGGAGCTCTGCACACTCGCCACAGGCATTTCAGAGGCAGCAGACAGAGAAGAAGATAAGGAAGGGGAAATATCAACCTGGGCTTGGAGGAGGGGTGATAAAACCTGAATCTGCAGTGTAAAAGGAATACAGTGTAAAAGGAGCAGGGGATCAAATAGTGGGTGGTGCGGCCACTGTGGTCATCATCAGTCCTCTGTACCCACAATTCAAACACATTCAATTAATTTGAATGAGTTTTAGAGCTGGATGAGACCTCACATGCCTACAATCCCAGCACTTGGGAGGCTGAGACAAGAAGATCATGAGTTCAAGGTTAGCCTGGGCTTCATAGCAAATTCCATCCAGCCTAGCTGTATTGCAAGACCCAGCTTCAAAACACACACACACACACACACACACACACACACACACACACACACAGCATTCAAAAGTTCATCTGTATTGACACATGGACACACACAGAATTAATTTTCCTGTCATTACTTTCTGAACAATACATTTACATTTACTCAGTATTGTAAGTAATCTAGAAATGGTTTTAAATGGGATGTGTACAGGGTATATTCAAATGCTATATACTTTATATAAGATACTCGAGGCTTCAGAGTCTGTACCCACAAGGGATCTTCAAACCAATCTTCCACAGACAGCATGGGGCAATTGTATTTCTCACTTGGTCTATAGAGATGAAAGTGGGCCTGCCTCTTCTTAGGGCTGGCAGCAGCGCCTCTGGAGAAACACAGCCTGGTCTGGTTACTGTGTTTGGAAAGTCATTACTAAACCCACATGAGGGAATTCAGGACCTGGCTCCATTGGAAACAATACCAAATGCAGAACAGTTAAAGATTCTTGTTGCCAGTTACTAGCAAGTACGTAATTATAAATTAATATAAGAGCAGTTATTAATAAATGTTGATTAATCTAATCACTGATAGTATTGTCAATGATAATGATAGCTACCTTTTCCTGACGACCTTCTATGAGGTTGGATCTCTATGTGTGTCTGTGTGTATGTGTACGTGTGTGAGTAGGTGCACCTTGTGTGGTGTTAATGTATGAGTGTGCACAAATGCATGTGGAAGCCAGAGCACAACCTCTGATGTCATTTCTCTGGAGCCATCTACCTTGTTTTGGGGACAGGGTCTCTCATTGGCCTGGGGCTCTCGCCAATTCAGCTGCCTGATCAGCAAGACTTAGGGATCCTCCTGGCCCCCATCTCCAGTTTCCCAGCACTGGGACTACAAGTGTATACCACTACACCTGACTTTTTATATGTGGGATCTGGGGATTGAACTCAGGTCCTTGTACTTGTGTCTCAAGGGCTTTACCAAGTGAGCTCTCTCCCCAACCTGGGGACCTTTTATATTCATGACCCTTAGAAAGGATAATCACAACGCCTCCCTGTCAGAATGGACTCTTACTGTCCACAAAAAAATGCTCACTGGAACTGCCTAAATGTCATCCTGACTTGATCCATCAACACCCCCAGAGATTACAAACTGACAGTTCACAGACAACATATAGTCATGGAAGTGTTTCTAGTCACCCTGAACTGTTTAATTTTTAAATGTTTGTTGCCAATATATCAAGACATAGTGAGATTTCCACAGTAAGGTAGTCTAATGAGATCTGCATAACGACAAAACCAGTTAAAATACCACGGCGGCTGGAGGAAATTTCACTGGGTCTCACCTCAAGACAAAGAGCTGCAGGCGATCAATGGATGCTGAGGGAGAATCAGTTTTCTCCAGGGACTAGCTCCCCGAGAGGTTATCTAATCCCAAGTGGACAGCCCTAAACACAGGCGCACACGAGTACCACCAATGGACTTAGGGCACTGTGTGTGTGTGTGTGTGTGTGTGTGTGTGTGTATGTAACAATGTGTAACAATAATAATCAAAGAAGCAGACAAGAAACTGAGAGGAAACGGAAGAATGCAGGAGGAGATGGAAGGGGACTGGGAAGCATGGAAGTAATGCAAAGACAATACTATGCACGAGATTCTCAGAAACAAAAAAATTAAAGTTTTAAAAAGAAAGAATGAGATTTCAAGTAGAAGTTCACAGAAATTCCAATTTCCAGCTTCTGATGAGAGAAGGAAGATAGGATTGTTGAGCCTGCAGCCCTCCACCTTGTCCGTTCCATCTGCTCTTGTAACTCACAGCCGTTTTCCCTCCTTGCAGTGCCTGAAACTCAGTCTGTGGTGTATCCCAGAAGGCACCACCCACCCCCAGTCTTGCCTGCAAACTGATTGTTTTCTCTGCCACCTTCCCCTGGCCTCTAGCTGAGCTTTCAGGAGACACACTTTGAAAACCACTGGTCTACAGCTCTGAATGAGCTCGGAATGCCCACTGGATTCAACGCTAATGGTGACAGGCAAAGTTGGGAAAGACAAGGTTCATATTTTGAGACATCATAAGTAGCCCTGTAAAAATTAAGTAGGGGGTGGTGAGATGGCTCAGAGAATAAAGTGCTTGCCCTGCAAGTGCGGGGATGGGAAGTGTTGAGGACTGGGAGAGTTTGGATTCCCAGAAGCCACATAAATACTGGGTGGGTATGGGGGCCCACCTTTCTCAGTGCTTAGGAAGCTGAGACAGGGGATCCCTAAATCAAGCTAGCTAGCCAGATTGGTCATATTAGTGAGCTCTGGGTTCAACTGGGAGACCCTTTCATAATGAATAAGGCGGAGAGTCATTAAGGAAGAGTCCCAAAGTCAGCCTTGGGCCTCCGAGTGCAGGCACACACATGCACCCACACATATGTAAACATATATACATACATGCACGAAGAGCGTGCGCGCACACACACACACACACACACACACACACACACACACACACACAGAGAGAGAGACGTAGAATCCAAGTAAATCACTATCCTACCTCTAAATCACCAGTTTTCTTAACAAAGAGCCTATTCATCCCAGCCAGGTCACTTTTTGATCTTTTCCAGGGGGTTCTGTAAAAGCAGTTGTGCTGCCAAGGACATGAAGCCTCATCCCACCCCAAAGTTGCACACAGACATCTTACTAGCACTGGCATGACTCAACACTGATCTTCTCCTCAAAGACCCTGCACCCGAGATAGTAACTAATAGGTGACATCACTAGCAATAATAGTCAACTGTCCTCGAGTACCTCTCACATTGCAGGCTCAACACAAGTGCCTTGTATATCATAAGATATGTAGATATGTATATCAACTTTTCTGTACTACAGATGATGCAGCAGTAGGTTAGATGGGACACCAGTTCTACAGTAGTCAAGAGACAGACTCATTCTATTTACCAGTGGTCAGGCACTATTAGAAATGTCGTGCCCAAGTCTGTGTCTGTGTTTTATGATGAATGTTGATGACCTGGAGAACTGTAAACCCTTGGAAATGATGTCATGTGGGGAGTGCTATTAGGAAGGATCAGGGGAGAGTTTAACTTGGACATAGGATTCCAGAGTATAGCCTACATGTAAGTAAGTCTCAAAAAGGCTCTACAGAGTGGGTCATTGGAGGACATTCTGGGAAGGTTGATTTGGTATTAATATAGAATTTCAACACCGAGAAAAGTCCTAATGGAACTGGCTTCTTCCAGCAGACCTAGCTTCTCTGCATCCAGATGTATCTGGAGAGAAAGGGGGCTTAGTAGGGATGCTGTAGAGCTGTGGCTTAGTCATCTAGCGCTAGGGCACAGGACAGCTCCAGGGAGATGTCAGAACTACTTTCTTCCATTACTGCCCCGTTTCCTCAGACTTTCTAGAGGGCCTCCAGTGGAGTCAGATTGTCCAAGGTATGGATCGCCCTTCATCATTAGCAGTTGGGTGACCTTGGTCAGAGCCCTTAACCTCTCTGAGTCTCCACTTTCTTCTCTAATATCCTGGGGTAATAGCACCTGCCTTGGTAGGCTGTGTGAGGATTTAATTAGATGCTGCATGGGAAGGTGCTTAACATGGTGCCTAGCACGTAATAAGTGCTCAAGAAATTAACAATTATCATCGAAATAACTATCATTATCAGCTTCTTCATGTGAACACTGAGACCCTTGCAACTCTAGGTTTCAATGACAATGTTTATGTTCACTTTTCAGCCTCTGTCGGTAGTTTCACAACCTATAATAAAGTCACCAGGTCTGCACAGTACTTAATTTAACAAAGAAATATCCACCCAGCAGAACCGAAGTTCTGGTTAATACAGGTGCAAATCATGCCTCCCCAGAGCTGACAAGAACTCCCTGCTGGGTCTTTGGGGCTGGAGAGCTCTCCCATGGCCTCATGATTATGGGGAATGAAGCATTTATTCTTGCATTATAAATGTCATATCAAGCCTAGCCTACACCCCAACCTCCAGGAGGTCTATGGTTTGAAGCCTGTCAACTTCTGCTTCTGGGGAAAGGGCTGGCTGGTGGACCACTCTCAGTTACCCACCCAGAGGTAGTACTGTATGTTTCCGAAATAAATTTCAATACCACTGAGATAAACAACATGACCTTTTCAATGTCAGTGTGAAGAGAAAACGATACAGTTGAACGGAGGAAAGGAGGGCAAAATTGGATTCTTAATCACAGTCCCAGAGTAGATCTGGACTCTACTCACCAAGCGCCATCCCCCAAAAGGTGTCAACTCAGACAGCTACAATAATTGAATCGATGCCACACAAAAACTCAATAGCAATTGTCTTTCTGTTATTTACAGAGGCCAGGCTGCGTGAATGGAAATCTCCATGTTGGTACCCAGTGACTTGGTGCATACAGGGGAGCACCACAGACATATTCAAGTAGACTCATTGACATCTATGCCTCAGAGAGCATTCAGAGCACGCACGCAGGCAAGAGAAAGAGCACATCGTGTCTGAGGGCCCGACAGCCAGAGAGAAGAGTTTACTTACAGCTTTCGGTTTATACGGTGGCTGAATCTCTTTGCGTTCAAGTTTCTCCCAGTCAATATACCGGAAAAATGCGTGCTCTTTAATGTCTCGTTCTCCTTCGGGTCCGCAACCCAGACGTTTGCCTGGGTGTTTGGTCATTAGCTTCAAAAGAAAGAAAAACATTGTACAGATTTCAGACCAGGAAACATGAGCCTCTGAGAAATTATTATTCTAATGGCCGAGGAAAGAAAGCATGATGCAGAATATCAACTAGTTTGACTGTTCGAGTTTCATCCCTGCAACAGCTTCTAAGCCAGGTCTCTGCAGGAGAGGGGCCCGCAATGGTGCCCACCCCAGACGTCAAAGACCAAATGTGGCCTTGGACTTATGTTAGAAATGTCACACCATCCATCAGGGTTCGAGAACGAGTTCTGTATGATTACTGGCATACCTAATGAGGACAGTTTCTAACTTCAAATTCCCTTCCTCCCAACATAAAAATAAACTGACATTTGACCAACATGAAGGATGCATTCATTCAGACACTATTTGCATTTCTCAGCAAAGCACTTGTGAAAAGGATAAAACAGAAGAAAAAATATTAAATGGACCCAAGTTTCAAGTAATTACCTTCAGAAAGCTCATTAAATAGTCAAAACCTAGCGCAGCTCATTTCCTTGTATCACACATTACCCTCAACTCCTCAGTGGTTTCTTTGGTGTTCTGTTTAAATTACTTAATTATCAAAACTCTCCATCTTTGGGTCTCTGAGCCAGTGCTAAATAACAAGATGAATAGACGCTCTGAGACGAAACCAGAGAAGCTTCCTCTTAGAAACGAACCCGAAGCAGCATGTGAATATCTCTGACAGCAGCAAGTGAGCAGAGAGGAAAGATGGAAGTTAGTGATAGAAAAAGAGAAGAGAAAGGAAGAAAAGACTCACAAGAGGGCGTGAAAGCGAGGGAAAAGCAAGTCGATCACAAAATTGACTTGCCACCAAGAACCCCATGGTTTGCCCAGGACTAGCTGATTATGACTGAAAAAGGAACTCTGTGATTCACTCGAAACTGCTGTGCATTTTACTTGGTTCCTGCTTATGAGATAGTCTATGGTCATGTTCACAGGCACACACTACATATATGCTTACCTCTTAGGGAGTATCACTATTTAGCATTCAGTGTTCTCAGCGCCTTCCTTTACAGCCATGACCTTTCCTGGCTGCCAGGGTAACCCAATGAGGTGAGTCAGTTGCTTTTCTCATTTGAAATGGCAAGGAGATTGACCCCCAGAGAACTTGATGCTTTACAAGGACTCACTGAGTGATAGGTGGGATCCAGTCCCACCTCAGCCTAGTCCCAAATTTGGGCATTTAAGAAATGGGAGCCAGGCATGATGGTGTGTGCTTGTGAGCTCAGCACTCTGGAGGCTGACACAGGAGGATTTGGAGTTCAAGACCAGGCTGGGCTACATAAGGATATTCTGTATCAAAGTGTGGGAGGGTGTGTGTATGGAGAGAGAGAGAGAGAGAGAGAGAGAGAGAGAGAGAGAGAGAGAGAGAGAGAGAAATATTTCTGCATGTGGTTTTCCCAGAGGTATTTGTGATCTGCTTTGGTTAGAAAAGATCCATGGAGGGCAAGCAAACTGAGACAAGCCTTGACATTGTGTGGGATTAGGATGGACAGAAAGGCTATGAGATCTTGATTAGACCTGATAACAGTAACATCAACAATGGTTTCTGATTACTGAGCACATTTGTGCCCAGTTTCTGTGCTAGCCCATTCAGTCATTATTTATGACTCTTTAATCTTACAGTAACACTTGAATGCTTCGGCAACTATTCTATGCATTTTCCAGATCAAGAAACTGGTCTGAAGAGGTAATCATCTGCCTAAGGTCACACAGTCAAGGAGCAGAGCTGGGGTTTAGTTTGTTTTGTGTGTGGAGGTGCAGGTATGTATAGGTGAAGATGTGTCATGGTACATGTGGAAGCCAGAAGTCAATTTCCAGTGTCTTCCTCAGTCACTGTCCATCTTTTCTTGTTCAGACAGTCTCTCACTTTCACCAGGAACAAACCAAATTTGCTTAGGCTGTCAGGTCACTGAGCCACAGGGATTCACCTGTCTCTACCTCCCCATTATTGGGATTATAGGCACACACTGCTACGCTTGGCTTTTTCATGTGGATTCTGAGGGTTAACCTCAGGTCCTCATGCTTGAGCAGCAAGCACTTTACTGACTGAGCACCCCTTCCCAGCCCTGGAGCCCAGTTTTGAACAGAGCAGCCTGACCTAGCTCTCTCTCAGCCCTCTACAACCCAGTCTCTGCTTCTTTTCACTCCAACAAGCAGCCAGTCCGGGCTTTTCCCTGCTTTAGCAAAGTGGCCATGGCAATCTGAGCAAAATTCTGCTCTTTTCTTATAGTAGAAACTAGGGCCTTTCATAATGAGATGGACCTATAAAGAAGACAGTGTCCACGGGAAAGACGGCTGTTCTCAAAAGTCTAGCACAGTTTCCATGTTGGCAGGGAGATGGCTGGCAGAGAAATACCACTGTGGGAGCACATAGCAATAACTGCCCAGTTCCCACGCTCTGCTCTCTTGTGTCTGAAGCCATGTAGACAGCTGGATGTGATCACTGTTCCCACTGTGGATCACCTCCCAGACACATCCCCTGGGGCTTCTGCTCAGGAGGAAGCATTTGGCTCTTGGTTTAAGCATCACCCCTTCTTCTGAAAAGCATCAGCCTTGAAGAATGAGCCCACTGTACTCAGCCCACTCAATGCAGCAACGGGCCCCAACCCAAATAGCAAGAGAGTTACACCCCAGCTCATCGTGAAGGTTATGGATTCTGAATTAATAGAAAACTGTTCTACCAGGCAAAGAGCTAATTGAAGCTGAAGCTGAAGGCAGCTGACCTGGAAAATTCTCTCTCCTCCATGCCCCACTTAGAACACCCCCCAGCTGTCCAGGCAGGGATGGTCTTGAAAGGGGAAATGAGCACCTACTATGTGCCAACCATGCAACAAGCCTCCTCTTCTACTGCCTCACTTAATGCTATTGGAAATGGTTCAATGAGCACTTTCATTCCCACTTTAGAGGTGAAGAGGCAGAAGCCCAGGGATGTAAAGAAATCACTCAAAATTGTGCACCTAAGAAATGAGAGGACCAAGATCGACAGAGGGTCTTTTATCTCTTAAATCCTTCATGTTTTAAATTCTCGTCACAGGGGGACACAAACTCAAATGCCAAGAGAATCCTGGCAAGAAGCAATAGTGACAGTATTAGTCATATTGGAGATGGCCTTAGGGCTCTAGAGTGGGCTCTGGTCCAAGTGATTTATAGGTATTAACTCATTTAATCATCAAAGGACCCTATGTGTAGTGCTGTTATTGGTCTCAATCCTTCAATGAGGTCAAACAACTTCCCTGTGATCACAGTGGCTTGTATCCTTGGGTTTGGATTTGAACCCAGATGGACTTTGGCCAGATAGGGTTTTTTGCAAATTGGAGAAAGCGCTCCTATCAAAAGGGGACAGTGATTTCCAACCCTGCTGGCTGGTGCTCTGGAGGAATGACAGGCCACTGTGGCAAGATATGACTTTTCACCAGAAGCTGGGGAACTGAACATTGGAGGAAATCTCCTCTTTGAATACTGGAAATCATTAAACAAAATAAAGGCTTTGTGTCTGACTTTCTCCCACTACTCCCCCAATAGGATGTCTGAGGGTCTCATTGGCCTCTGTCTATGCTCTCTCTTGTCTATAGGCTTTGTAGATGCTCCTGATAAACTCTGGGTCTCCTCTGTGCTCCTGGTTTTTATTTTTCCATGCCTCACACCTTCCAAGAAAAATATTTTCAACCAATTCAACTTGGAGATGTTAGTGACTGAGACTAATTCACACGTGGCTTCCCCAGAGATATTTGCATCCTCACCTGTGGAGCTCAAACACAAAGCTCAGGTGATTCACAGAGAGTGGGGATTCAGGCAGTGTTACAAGGTGTTTTCAAGCTGGGCAACTGCCCCCAGGTGTGTCACCTGGGCCAAGACCGGGCTGCCTGATTTCCTTAGCCAGAGCCAGCATAGATGAGCTCAGAAAGAGCAGGGGTAGGCATGGGAAATGTGGAAGCATCTGAGAGATCTACAACTGCAGCCCTGGTTTATGTAGACATATGGTGGGAGTTCCCTGCTCTGACACAGCTAGATTCTAACCTTAGGAATCAGTCTGCATCATGGTTGGTGGGAAAGCCTGTGTAAAGACTATAACCTTGCATGCTATTACCTCAGAGTCTCAGGTTGTAGCTTTCACAGTTCCATTGGGGTTGAAAAACTACATCCTTTGGACGTGTTTAAAGGAGTGAGTTTTGAGTCACATGGGGGCTTTGTCAGAATACTAGTGTGCAGATACTCTCCTGGGTGAGGCTGAAGTCCGCATAGTCTAATAAGCACATATTTTGCAACACAAGGATGTAGCTGGATACAGGTGTATCTCACCAGCAAACATGCATTTGGCTTTCTTCACAGGTGTTATTTGTATATACTGTGGGTATATAATTGTGTGTGCCCGTTCAGCTATGGGGAAGGGCTGCATACTCGTGTTGGGAGATGAAAATCATGCAAGTTGGAGGTCACTGGATTTGGGTCATCATATGCATCATTGCAGTGTCTCTAAATACCTCCTTTATTCATTAAGTATTTCTCTGTGCAAAACTGAGGGCTGGAGCCCAGCCAGCAGCAAGATGCCAATGCATACTAGCCTCTACGCTGCGTTTTAGTGCAAATTAGAAGCAAGCTCTCTTTTTCTCTGAAAGTATCTCCACACCAGGGCCCTGGTGTTGGCAGTGGAGTGAGAGGTGGAGTCCAATCTCTGTTGTACACTAGTTGGAGCACAACCAGCACCATGGTAGTCCTGCCTGGAGCATCAAGCAGTTTACTCACCCCTTTGCAGATGGCCACAGCTTCCTTTGACATGGACTTGGGATAAGCCACATTGTGCTCCATGATGGACTGGAAGAGTTCATCCTCATCTTCCCCTTCAAAAGGTGCCTGTGGGACAGAGGGAGGGGTGGTAGAAGGACCCCTGCCTGGCCCTCCCCACAGCTTTCCATAACCAGCAGGGCTTCCTCCCTGGGGCCCAAGGTGAGACCTTGACTTCAGGGCTTTCAAGATGAGAAAACATGTTCAACAAACTTAGGCAACCCCAAGGCCAGCAAAGTCTGAGGTACTCAAATTCATGAGCTATTACTAGGCTGTTGTTTCTTCAAAGAGACCATGAAGAAACATGTGGCTGGGGGTAGAGGAGGACTTTTCTTGCAGATCACTTAAAATTCAATTACCTGCCCAGCCAACATTTCATACAGCAGGACTCCAAAGGCCCACCAATCCACAGACTTCCCATAGGGCTGATAAGCAATGATCTGGAAAACAGAAGACATCAGGGTGGCTGGCAGCCTTGTTGCTGGAGACTGAATTCACACATCTTTTATAGTAAGAGTAGATTTGCACTGGGCTGTCGGTCTCAGGGAAGAACTCTCCCAAGGCACGGTGCTGGCTTTCTATTCAAGACTATAGTGGCTACCACAGTCCTAGATGCAAGCCAGGGCAGAGTAGACAGAAAGAGCACAGTGCACCTGGGCTATTTCCTTACCTCTGCTGCTCAGGGATGAAGGGCAGGCTTCACAGAACCACCTGCAGCTGGGTAAACATCTGTGCATGGCACGTTGCCTTTTCAAGCACCAGGTGTGGTGTGTTGTTCTTTTTAAAAATTTTCTAAACTGTGGTGTTTTAGCCAGGAGAGATTATTTTTGTTTCTCACTGTACAAGTAAAAGCATTTACACAATAATATGGATATACTTATCACTACTGAACTATATATTTAAAGATGACTAAGACAATCAATGTTATGGTATATGGTTTTTTTTTTGTTTATTTTCATCTGTTTGGTCTTTTGTGCTTTGTTTTGTGTAGTTAGGACTTGAACCCCAGGGCCTTGAATGCTAGGCAGGTGCTTCATCAATGACCTACACCCACAACTCAATGTGATTCTTTTGAATCAGAATAAAAAATAAAACAGCTTAGGGAGAGATGGCTCAGCTGTTAAGAACACTGGCTGCTCTTAGAGAGGACCCAGTTCAATTCCTAGCACCCACATGGCACCGAACAACTACCCTTGACTCCAGTTCCAGGGGCTCTGATATTCTCTTCTGATCTCTGTTGGCATTGCATGCACCAGTGCCCTTGCATACAGGCAGGCAAAACACTCATACACATAAAATAAAAATAAATAAAATAGTTTAAAAAGTAAAACATTTTCCATTATTTTATATCTGTTATTCAGAAAATGCAGTTATGGTAAAAGAATTAAACAAAAGTCATTTATAATCCATTGTCAAGATAAACTCAGGACAAACATTGGTCTGTCTCCTTCTAGACTTGTATGAAGGTATCGTAAACTGGGTGTGCATCTGACATCAGCACAGGCACTTGTGTGCTGTGCATCTCTAGCACAGTGTGCTCTCCCCTTAGGTTTCCTATCATATTTGTATGCTGACACAATTAGTTTTTAAAAAAGATTTTGTTATTTTTATCTTTAATTGTGTGCATATGTATATGTATATGTGGGGGCATGTACACATGTATGTAGGTGGGCATGAAGGCTAGAAGAGGGTTGTTAGAACCCCTGTAGCTAGAGTTACAGGCAGCTGTGATCTGCCTGACATAGATCTTCTGCAAGAGAAATCCGTGCTCTTAACAGCTGAGCCATCTCTCCAACCTCACAATTGGCTTTTACCTCTGCATAGGATTCCATTTAATGGACATGCAAAAATCTGTCTTACTAATTCCCAGTTGTTTCCATAGTAAATTCCTAAAAGGAAGAATAATGGATCAAATAGCATATATGGCTGTAAGGGTTTTGTTAGCTATGTGACTGTCCATCTTTCAGGGTATAGGGTATAGAAAGAGCTATGTCAAAGGCGTGCCGTAGTAATACAGCAAAGATTGAGGGCTGAGGTTTGGGAGTCAGACAGTCTAATTCAAATCTCGATTGCTGCTTGCCAGGTGTGTGACCCTGAGGGAAGTTATTTAACTTCTTTAAATCTCACTTTCTTTTTTTAATAAAACAGACATACTATGTACACATTGGGGCTCTGTGCTAATGAATAAGATGCTAGGAACCTCTCACACATTATGCAGTCACGCTTGCTCTTTACTAGAATGTTCTGTCAATCAGTTGTTACTTATTTTACTCCATAAAAGCATTGAAGCAAATTTGGCTACGAGGTAAATGTCTGTTTCTCGAACTTTGCCTCTGATTTTAGCTTCTACTCTAAAATCAGAATGCAGAGATGTTGGTCCAAGGTTATTCAATTTCAGTTAGATAGGAGGAACGTGTTCAAGAGACCTATGGGCCAATATGGTGACTAGTGTTAACAATAAATTGCATTCCTGAATATTGCTATGACTGCCAGCTGTGGGAGTACACACCTATAATCCTAGCACCTTAGACACTGCTGCCAATTCGAGGTCAGCTTGGGCTACACAGTGAGACTGTTAAGGGCCAGTGAGATGGCTCAATGGGTAAAGGTAATTGCCTTACAAGCCTGACAACTCAAATTTGATCCTCAAAACGCACATAAAGGTAGAGGGAAAGAACCGACTCCACAAAGTTGTCCTCTGACCCCCACACATGGCATACATGCCACCTCTCATAGACATACATTAATAGTCATTTTTTTAAATTGCCGAGTACAGACTTTAAGCAAAAATGTATTAAGTAGTTTAAACAAAAAGGTCATGCTTTTGCAAACTAACTTAATTCAGTCCTTGCACAAATACAAAACATGTTATACACTATAGACATACATACATAATTTTTATTTGCAAATTTAAAATAGACAACTAAATCAAAGAATAAATAAATAAGAAATATACTGTGAAAGAAGTAACGGCAATTCTCAGAAGCCTTCTGTGAGAATGCTTCTCGGTGAAAACGTTTCCACACCTCGAACGTACTTCATCTTTTATTTGCTCCTCCTGACAACCCAAGAAGTTAATCCTTTTACAGAGAAAATTAGAGCCTTGGAGGTGGAAGAAGTTGTCAGAGGTGATGTGGTTAGGTAATGGTGAAAGTGACCTGCGGCAGCATCCTCCCGGCTGTGGGTTGGAGGAGGAGGTAGCCCACAGCACAGTTGAATTCGCTGTGTCCTCACTAGCTCCATGACCAGCCGGGAGCTGTTAGAGACCATGATCCTGGAGGGATTCTGATTCAGTGGGTACAGGCTGACACTTGAGAATCCTGAATTTTTAAAGTTGCCCCATGACTCTGAGTGCAGAGTATAGCCAGAGTTGGGAATTAGGAATCACTGGACTCATAATAGATCTGGGAACTATGTCAGAATGTGCCTAATACTGCCAAGAAGGAGTCAAATGGTAACCAAACTGAGTGCCATGCAGAGACACAAATACATTTACCTTACAAAAACATCAATACACAGATGGGAAGATGTATCCTAACCCTCAGCAACGTTTGAAATCCTGCGTGATCTCCCAGCCAGACTTTCTAGGGTCACACGAGTGAGTATTCATCTATTCAAAGGAAGCACCCAGCAGCGTTCTGTGTGCAACTGCTGCTGTCTATAAACAGTAATGTCACATTTATCATTCTCTACTTGTATGTTTTTCATTATTTTTCTTTTTTCATTTGTGGAACAGAGTCTGACTATGTAGCCCAACCTGGCTTCCAACTCACAAGGCTCCTGCCTCTGTTTCCCAAGGGCTAGAATTACAGGCGGGTATAACTATGCCTAGTTTGATTTTATTTTTTCTCTTACCGTATGTCTTGAGGACATTTCCGTACATTCATGTGCATTCACCTGACTCTCCTGATTTGGTGAGGAGTGACATTTTCTGTTGTAGGTCACGATCTCTTGCCTTTGCACCTACTGAGGGGCTCTGCTTCAAGTGAGTTCATACAGACATGCTGCAGTCTTGTCAAGGTGACATATGACTCCCTGACATGAATGTGGCATTTTTAGCTAATCACCCTTCATTGACAGGCATTGAGAAATAATTCTTGGAAGAAAGAAAGAATTTGAACACATACCCTTCTCTTTGTGTATGTTTGTGGCTGTGCATGTGTGTGCATCTACATGTGTGTGCTGTGTGTGAACTAGGTTTCTAGAAAAGGAATTGCATTGGCTCAGAGTGTGGACATTTTAAGCTTTATGCCAAGTTCATTCCATGGAGATTCTCATCACCATTGTTGTAGATCAAGTGATTGACAGTCAAGAAAAAAAGCAATTCTAGAATGTCCCTTTCCAAGACTGGATCCTATTTACTCAGTTTCTTTACTAAAAATTCCGTCAACAGATCATGCCACTGTTTGAAGTACCAACTCAGAGTAAAAGAGACAGGAATTGACTGCCTAGCAAAAATTAGTTTGCAATGCCCTGCTGGGAAAACCCATTCATTGACCACCTTCTTTGAGAAGGAAAATGCTCAGATGGACACTTACCTTTCATGTCTGTCTTTACCACAGGAAGACAAATCCGGAAGCACCACAATCACGGAAGCCCCGTGTTATAAGCCAACTCAGGGGATCTGTTCCTTTTTGTTGTTTGCTCTCTCAACAAATGCTTCAGTGTCATAATTAGGAGGCACCATGGCCATGTGCCACAACTTGACAACGGATTTTCACTGATGTGTGTTAGATGGTTCTTTTGAGTTTTACTTTAAAAATTTCCTAAACTTTGATGTATTTTGGGCCTAAGATTCTAGATGTGCTAATTTGCATGTGAGATTTAAAAGGGATGACTTAGGGTACAAGTTCAAGGCAGGTCCAAGATTGCCAGGTACCACCCTTGACCTTTTCCAGCCTTCACACTGCCCTCTGAGAGCAGGAGGGACATCATTGCAGGTACATGTGTATGAAGGGTCCCCTCTGTTCTCACCTCTGGGGCAATGTAGTCTGGGGTGCCACAAAATGTCTTGGTTGTTACCCCATCCCAGATGTTCTCCTTACACATGCCAAAGTCAGCGATTTTGATGTGCCCCTCGGAATCCAGCATCACGTTGTCGAGTTTTAGGTCACTGTAGCAAACATAAAATTGGGGGAATTTAGTTAAATGCCATTTATTTCAAATTAACCAACAGCTATTTGCTAGACATACATCATACAATTATTCTAGTTCTACGGGGACACAAAGGCAACTGTGAACCAGACCTTGCCCCATGGTGGCTTACAATCTGGCAGGGAGATTTTAAAGGGCCCACAAATCTCTGTGCTTTTTTTCAGTACACAGTGAACTGTACCAAGTGTCTTGCAAGGACACATTGAAACAGACTGTGTTATAATAAGCTTGGTTGTTATAGATTCTGATAAGTAGTATCATGGAAAGGAAGAAGACAAGAAAATAGTAACAGGAGGAGGAAGACGTCACCATAAACAAGGTGCCAGGAAGGACTTCTCTAAGGTAGTGGCAACTGAGCTTTAACCTAAAGAATATATGTTTCTGTTCTGTTATCGCCATCTGTATTGATCAGGAGAACTTTATATTCTGGGGAATTTTTGCATGTCTCCACATATAAAATTGTTCCCATATCCCACAGGATGTCTTCCTCCTAAATACCGATTCCATTGTCAACACGTTGTACACCAGTAGGTGCTCACTGGGCCAGACTGTCCTAGTCCTAATAGAAGATGGGAAAATAAAGTTCTCTAGGAGGTAAGAGATCTACTGCCTAATTCCCCACTGCATCATCCTGACTGGGTTCTGGGTGTCTGTGGATTCTGCCTGTGCTAGCATTTTGGGATGAGATCGCATCCTATTTCTTTGAGTGCCAATCTTTCCTGATCACCAAACCATGTAATGGGGGGTGGTGCTGGCCCTGACCTCTGGTCACAAGAGTGGGTATATGGGCCTGTACTACTGGCCAGTGGAAATAGCTGCTCACAGTGATTGGTTCAAGAATTGGCATGTTAGCTAATAGAAGACCAACCAAATCCTGACAGATTTGTGGTTACTCCTAGGAAAGAGGTGAGCTCTTTTTACATTAGACTGACTTGGAATATGAGTCTAGATATTCTAGACGTCCCTTGACAGAAAGAAGAAAGCAAATGGAGATAAATCAGAGCCTAGAAGGAAAGTGTTAGAGGAACACTTCAGATGTTCCTCTTCGGCTCCTCCAGTATGGCAGCCAATAAATCCTTCTTGTAAGTTAAGTTTGTTTGAACTGAGTTGCTGTTGTCACTTCCAGCTAAAGGAACACATCTTGAAAGTACATTCTGGCTGAATAATATTCCATGGTGTAAATTCCACGTACCATATTTTTCTTATCCATTCATCAGTTGGTGAACATGTAAGCTGTTCCATTTCCTGGCTATTGTGCATAGAGCCACAACGAATGTGGATGAGTAAGTATCTCTGCAGTAGGATATAGAGTCTTTGGGGCATATGGCCAAGACTAGTATAGCTGGATTGTGTGGTACATCTTCTTCTAGCTTTTTGAGGAAACTCCACACTGATTTCTAGAGTGGCTGCACCAGTTTGCAGTTTTTTCCTAGTGAATAAGTATTCCCCTTGTCCCACATCCACATCAGCATTTGCTGCCATTTGGTTTTTTTTTTTTTTTTTTTTTTTTTTTGGTCTTTTTGAGACAGGGTCTTCCTATAGCCCCAGCTATCCTGGAATTCACTATGCACTATGTAGACCAGGTTGGCCTTGAACTCAGAGATCTGCCTGCCTCTGCCTCCCAAGTGCTGGCATTAAAAGCAAGTACCACCACGCCTGGCATAACTTGGATTTTAGGCCATTGTTAATAACCATTTGTTTTTTTATTTCAGCCATTCTGACTGGGGAAAGATGAAATATCAAAATAGTTTTAATTTTCATTTCCCTCATGGCTAAAGATGCTGAAACACTTTTTAAAAAGTGTTTCTCAGCCATTTGTATTTCATTTTTTGGTCTTTTTGAAACATGGTCTCCCTGTAGGCCCAGCTTGCCTGGAACTTGCTATGTAGACCAGGTTGTCCTCAATCTCATAGAGATCCACTTGTCTCTGTGTCCTGAGTGCTGGGATTAAAGGTGTGCCTCACCATGCCTTTAATTAATAAAAGTATCTCTCTCTCCATATATATATACATCTCCTACCTGTCTCTGAGGTCTCTTCCAAGAGGAGGGCCATTTGTACCCACTGCAGATAGCAACATTCCTAGCCCATGTATCCTTGGCACTGTCCATGGCACCAACCTTATTCAGCCCTCGTGTTTGTCCTCAAGGCATGGTAGTCTCTGAATGCTGGGTTACAACTTAGAGGAGCCATACTATGCAGCAACTTGAATCAACTGAACATATCAGAGCTATGTGTAATTTCACTAATATATGACATCTCCTCAACTTGATCATGTGCCTAGAAACAGGGTCAACCTGAAAGTAAGGCAAGGTTTTCAAGAAGCTAGCAGCTAACCGGTCATATTCATTGCCACGCCACTCATCCTATAAGAATTGAGACCTAATGTTAGAATATAAAATGAGAATTAGGCAGAGTGCTTTGATATTGTACTATTTGTGTGTGTGTTTGCATGTATGTGTGAGGTATAGGTGTGTGTTCATGCATATATGTGTGTGTAATGCGATCTATGTGTGCACGTGTGTTTATATGTGAATGTGTGTGTGGTATATGTGTGCATATGTGTGCGTATGAGTGGATGAGTGATAAATGGGTATGCATGTATGTGAGTCTGTGGTATATGTGTGTGCATGCATATGTGTGTCTGCATTTGTGAAAATATGTGTGTATGATGTGTGCTTGCATGTGTGTGTGCATGCATGTGTGTGTGTGTGTGTGTGTGTGTGTATATACGTGGTATGCTTGCTCATGCAGGTACATGTGGAGGTCAGAGGCTCACATTTGGAAGTCTTCATCACTCCTCTGCCTTGTTTTATTTTGAGACAGGGCCTCTCACTACACCTGGAGCTCACTATTTTAGCTCAATTGACTGGACAATGAGCCCCAGGCTCTGCCTGTCTCTGCTCTGGACTCACACTTCTACACCCAGGCTTTTATGTTAGTGCTGAGGGTCTAAATTCAGGTCCTCATACTTGCACAGAAAGCCCTTTACCCCCTGAGCCATTTCCAAGTTTTGCATTTTTCTTTGTTTGTTTGGTTTTGCTGTTGTTTCATGTCATGTAACCCTCATTTCTGTATCAAAAGTGGCTAGGACAATTGTTTTCAATAATTCTATTAAGAAAAATCAACACGCATTTCAGAGTCAGTGGTCAATAAACCAGATACCAAGTTTGAGAAAAAAGGATCCATCCCTGAGCTGCAACCACTCCCAGCATGTTCTCAGAAAGGGAAAGTCTAACAGCTTCCTTGCCTTTTTCCCTAAGAACTGTCCGACTAAACAGAAGCCTAAACGAAGGAGGGGATTTGTAACACTTTAAAACACTTTGCCACTGTGAAGGTAATCTTTATGAAATCATAAAATGACACATTTAAACTCCCCAGTCAAAAGGTACAGGCTAGTTGAATGGATTAAGGAACAAAATCCATCTTTTTGCTGTCTACAAGAAACCCATTTCACCTTCAAGGACAGTAGTCACTGCCTTAAGTTGAAAGGGTAGAAAAGAATATTCCAAGCAAATGACACTAAGAAGTAAGAAGGGGTTGCAATTCTAATATCTGACAAAATAGACTTCAAACTATAACTAATCAGAAGAGATAAAGAGGGTCACTTCATTCTGATCAAAGGAACAAAAGGAGGGTCACTTCATTCTGAACAAAGGAATAGTTAACCAAGAAGATACTACAATCCTGAATATATATGCACCAAACTCTGATGCACCCAAATTCATAAAAACAACACTGCAGGGCTTTAAGATACAGATTAATCCCAACTCAGTAATAGTAGGGGACTTCAATATCCTACTGTTTCCATTAGACAGGTCAACTGGACAAAGAATAAGCAGAGACACATCTGAATTAAATGATATTATACATTAAATGGACCTAACTGACTTCTTCCAAATATTCCACCCAAGCACCAAATAATACACTTTCTACTCAGCACCTCATGCAAATAGACCGAACAAACATCTTCCAAATATTCCACCCAAGCACCAAAGAATACATTTTCTGTTTTCTTTTCTTTTTTTCTTTTTGTCTTTTTGAGACAGGGTCTCCCTGTAGCCCCACATTGTAGAGGGCTTTAATGTATTTGGCTAGGTAAAATATTCCTAGATATTTTTTGAGGCTATTGTGAATGGGAGGGTTTCCATGAATCACCCAGTGAGTTTCTTTTTAAAATTTTTTTATTTATCATTTTAATGCCCGTGGAGGTCAGACAATGGCACTGGATCCCCTGGAGCTGGAGTTATGGACAGTTGTTAGCTGCCACGTGGGTGCTTAGAATACAACACAACAAAACCTCTGTGCACTTTAAAAGCAGTCTTGAGAGGGAGATTTATACTCTAAATGCCTACATTAAAAAATTAGAAAGAGCCCAAATAAATGACCTAATATAGCCAGTGCTCTTAACAGTCACTGAGCCACCTCTCCAGGCCCTCAATTGAGTTTTTTAATAGTAAACAACTTAAATCAACGTTGACGATAATAATCCAGGAAAGAACGTGTGAAAGGATGTTGAGGAGCTCATGGAATCTCTAAGGAGGCTGGAGAACTAGGTGGGAGGCTCCACAAGCGACGAACTATGCTTGGTTGCAGTGCAGAGTGAACCCACTGAAGACACCTCAGACATTACCACTGGATACAAACATCTCTTGTTCTGTGAGGCTCTAATGCTGGACTCCACAAGTTGCTGCTGAGAACCACTTCTCCTCTTGCCTCTGGAGACCAGCTACAGATGATGATCATGGCCACTCTTAGCTATGGCCATAGTTCTTTGGTCACCAGGTTCTGATTCACAGTTTTGGGTGATGATGACTGAGTATCTAATCTGAGCCTGGGTCCTGTGCTTGACCTTGCTCATGGAAGTTATGCATGCATGTGAGCATCTAACATCTCCATTTTTTTTTTCCTTTGAGACAGGATCTTACTACATAGATCTTGAACTCAAGATCCTTCTGCCTCCTCCTTCCATGTGTTTGGATCACAGACATGTATAACTATAACTGGACCTCTTTTCTTTATAGTAATAAATGGACTTTGGTTCTATACACAAAGGAAAGCAATTCAGATACTGACTTAAAATATTGAAAAATACAATTAAAAAATGTCTTAGCAATGGACAAGGAAAGGAGGCCTATGTAGAGAGGGAAAAGAGAAAGAAGGAAAGGGGGAGGGAGAGGGGGAGGAGGAGGAGGGAGAGGGGGAGGAAGGCAGGAAGGCAGGAAGGAAGAGACAGACCATTCTGGAGAAGGGATGGTCTTAGCGCCTCAAATGCTCATCAACTCCAAATCTTGGTCTGGTTCCTGCTAGACTGAAAACTAGCCCTAAATCCTGAGTTCAGCTGACAAGAACTCTGTTTTCTCCCTTGGGCTGTGTTTTCTTCTAATATATGTGTAGTTCACATTTAATCTTCCCAGGAGCCTGGGTGGTTCTATTCTTTAGAAGGTACATCCTACACACAAGTTAGAACCTACTCTCACCATATCAGGGGAAAATTATATTGAGCAAACAATTTACCTGTGGTCCCTGTTTGGAAGGTTAAAAGCAACTGAAGTCATTGGCTTGAATGTAGGGTTCACACAATATGGACGATCATGTGTACCTTCTGAGACCAGAATTACATTTGGTTCAAGATGCTCTCATTAGGAGAGCGTGGAGGGAAACTTGGGGAGTTGAAGGGTTCCCATGTTCTGTGTCAAACTGACATAGTGACACATGTTCATTGAAGATGATCATGGGTAAGATAACCAAACGATTAAAATCAATTTCTTCTCCATTCTGTTTCTGTACATTCACTGGAAGGTCCATGAGGCAGACAAAACCACATCTTTTCTTGGCTTTCATCTCTCCATTATCATAAAATAGGGATAGTGGGGATGCAGCATGCTCAGGGATGTATGAACCCCCTCAAAGTCTCACATCACCACTATTGTGAATGAATAAAACATCAGGTATCTGAAGGGTTCTTGCCAGGTCCCCACTTTCCATTGCTCCAACCCTACAGCAGCCCTACCCGTACCTCTACACACTGCCTGGAAATAATCAAGACTCTGCGTATCATGTCCTTCAGTTGCAGAGCAAAAGGCCTAGGATTCTCCGGGTATCTCAACTCCAGACCACAATTTCCATGTTTTCAGAGGTGATTCTCAACCACCCAGCACCAGCAGGCCCCTCCTGTGATTGAATTTTCTCCATGGTATTTATCACTACTCAAAAAAACTATACTTTTAATAGTTTTCTTTATGTCTCTTTCTTCACAAGAGCAAGAATTTTGTCTGTTTTCATTTCTATTTCCTCTGCTCAGAGCAGCACTTAGCACATAGTAGGCTTTTAATGAACATTTGTCAAACAAGTGAATGAAATGGGCTTATATGGCTCTTCACAAAGCCTTTAAATAGACCCTCACCCATGCCAAGAGCTAATGGAACTCCATGCGCCTAGCAGTTCCTATTGCATAATAATCAGTCCATCCCCCATAGCCTGTACCATTCTTATCTGCATGGTGCAAAGAGAATTGTACACCCTGGACTCGCTGACAAATAGCAGCCTGGGGCTCACTAGCCTGCCTTGCATGAAATATGAAATGGTATGACTCATACAGCTATGATCACACACTTGCTTCTCCAAAAACCGGCAAATGCCAACTTCTGAAGTTAATCCTGTCTTTCAGGGAAAGCTACTCAGAGATCTATTTCCAAATTGTAGCTACATGCAAGCAAAAGTGTTTCATAATGATATGATTCCACCACATTCTGCAGCCAAGATTCTTCACTTGCTCCCCAAATGTGGGATCCAAGAGAAAGAAGCACCGGGAGCTCTGTGTTGAGCTTTCTCTTCTGAGAGACCCGGTGTCCTCATGTCTGAGGTCCCAAACAATCATTGGTGACACAGTCCATCGAGATTTTTCTGTCACCATGTAGAACTGCCCAAACTTTGCCAGGGCAGTGGGCGATGCTGCCTGGCAGAACACATGCCCAAGTTAGTACTGGAGGATTCCTCCCCCACCAAAGATTCTAATTTTAAAAGCAGCTGAAGAAAGAGGCAGGAAGGGAAGAGCTGAGGGAGACGGGAAGATAGAACAGCCATGGTCACTTACCGGTAAATGATACCCTTGCTCTGTAAGAAGAACAGACCGATGGCAATTTCTGCAGCGTAAAATCTGAAATAAAAAAAAAAGCAATGGGTAAAGTCAAGGATACCATATGCTTGGCAGCTCTCAGAATTCAATATAATATTGAACTAGGCACAGGGCGTGAAAAGCTCACACGGATGGTCAGCTACATATCCCATAATATGCTGAGCATATGGGTGGGTAAGAGTGTGGTTTAGAGAGTGATGAGGTCATCTTGAGGACACATGGGGGTGGGCAAGGATTCAACAATTGCATACTGGGGAGGGCATCATAGGGTAGGGTGGGCTGGATGATCAGTTCAAGGCACTGCAAGTGCAAATATCTCAATAATAGCATCTGGCACCTGTTGAAAGCTTAGCACACACATTTTAGGGGTTATCTGATTTAATTCTAAGTAGAATCCTATGAAATATGTCCTACTAGTACCTCCTGTTCTTCAAATGAGGAAACTGAGGCTTAGAGAGATGAACTCTGCGAAGGGCTTTGTGAAGGTACTCGGCAAATAAGAGGCACAGCCAGGATTGGAAACGGCAGGTGTCTGAAGTACAAGTTCTCAGTGAAGGTCCACCGAGAAGGAAAGAGGAGTTTTGTGTTTGCGTGTTTGTTTTGTCTTTCTTGTGGTTCTAAGAGTAGAATCCAGGGCATACAGGGCACAGTGCATCCTGGGCAAATGAGCTGCCACGGAACCACACCCCAGTCTTTTTTAACTATTCTGTGGTGGGGTTTTTGTTTGTTTGTTTGTTTGTTTGTTTGTTTGGTATAGTCTCACTCTGTAGCTCAGCTGGCCTGTACTTCTATAACTTATATACCCCAAGCTGGCCTCAAACTCAAAGTATTCCTGCCTCAGTCTCCCAAGTGCTGGGATCATAGCCATGTGCCACTGCACCTGGCTCAGGAAAGAGTATTAGAAAGCCGGTTATACCCCAAGGGTTTGTAGGGTGTTGGGAAACTGATAAACCCTGATGCTATGAGTCATGAGAAGAGGGAATTAGACCTGTGGTCAGCTAGATGTCAGATATAAAGGAAGAACCAGTCCCATGGGAATCGTGGCAAGCGATGCAAACAGCTTGATTTGGAAGCATAAGGCTGATGCAGAGTGGAAGGAGATGGGACAAACAGAAGAAAGCAGAAGCCAGTGGACACCCCCACCCAACATCCAAAACTGCAGAGTGGAATCCCAGATGAGCTCTGGGGCTATCTGGAGGGGTAGTAAAATCTTAGCAAACACCACAGGAACTGACGTCAGTTCCTCTCACCTGCTTGGTTTCTGCTCACCCTCAGGATTCTTAGCAAGGCAGTGGTCTGAAGAGATTTTTATAGTCACTCTGACTGGCTTATGAACTGAAGGAAACAAAATGGAAAAGCCACAGACCACTGCCGCCAACCAACCTGATTCTTCATCTCCCTGCAGACGGAGGGAGAGCAGTGCAGGAAACAGAAGGTGAGAAACACACATGGGTCGGATGTCTGCGTCATCCTCACACTAGCTCTGGAATTTGGGAGTGTTTCCCTCACCCTCTGGGTCTCAGTTTACTGGTTTGTAAAGCTGAAGTGATACTATCTCCTTCCCCATATTGCTCAGGACTAAATGAGACCATGTCAGCCCTTAGGTGTTGGTACAGAGAAAGCTCTCAATATATATTAGCACACGAATAAACAAAACCCACAAGGACATTCCCACAAGGAAGTTGTAAGACCTTTCTCAGGAATTAGGGGCAATAATCAGAGCTAGAGAAATAGCCATGGGTTTAGAGCTTCATGCTGCTATCAGGAAACATACGGAAACATCTTATAGTAAGCAGGGGACCTTTCTCCTTCGCCAAATACTTCTCACAAAGAAGAAGCCCAATATGTTGAAAAACCTTTCTTTGGCTAAAATTTCAAAGGAACTAATAGTACACCCATTTATCCCAAGGAAAGGGAACAGCATGAGTTCTCTCTTACACAGCGTGAGGCTCCTTGAATCGGCCAACTTGTTGGATGTGGTACATGAGGTCACCCCCGTTCACATACTCCATCACAAAGTACAGGCGGTCCTGAGGAAAGAAAGCAGACAGCAAAATCAGTATTTCATAGTTTCCCAGTCTCCAAAAGGGAAGCAGGGAATAACCAGGATTTACGATGACAGCTACCAGGACTCTGACATGTTCTCTCATGCTGGGCCTAGCGTTCCCTTCAGAGTAACCTCTGTGCCACTGTAAGTATGCAAGCTAGCGTAGGTGGGATGCAAATCACCTTTTAATTAATAACTACAAATTGAAATTCATTTGTGCTGGAAAATATAATTAACACATGAATCTTATGATTTAACTGATACTGTTTAGGGCAAGGTTCGCTGGGACAGAAAGTAGAAAATATGAGGTAGATCATTTTCCAGTAATAGGCAGCTATGGGAGCCAGCGTCCACTGGCTTTCTGATGACTGGTTCACCTCCTGGTATAAATGTCCTTACGCACTATCTTCCTGCAATGATTGGAAATAATTTGTGTAACAAATAGGAAGCATGGCTTTGGGACAAGGTCAAAAAGAGCTTCCAGCTTCCACCTTGCTCTTTTCTGGATCATGCCCTCCAGCTGCCTTGTTGTAAGGACTTTGGAGAAGTCTATTTGATAAAGAACTGAAGCCTCCTGACAACAGCCATCACCAGCTTCTCAGTCCTAAGAATGAACCATTCTAGAAACCAGTATTTCTGTTCAGTCAAGCCATTGAAGACTACAGTCCTGCCGGCCACTTGACTGTAACTTCATTTGAGATTCCCAAGTAGACCTTTGGGGAGGCCAAATCTTTGACAGACAAAAGCTGTGAGGTGATAAACGCTTACTGTTGCTTTAAGCCACAGTTTGTGGTACTCAGCAATAGACAGCTAACATGGTAACTAGCAAAACCCAAAACCAAACATGAATGATCAAAGTATGAAAAATAACAGCCTAGGAAGGCAGTGCTATGGTTTGTGCCTGGAATAACTTCTCAAAAGTTCATGTGTTGGAGGCTCGGTCCGTAATCATGGTAGTTACCTCTCCTGTCACTGTGGTTAGATACCTGGGATAGCAGCTTAAGGGGAAGAATGATTTGTCTCAGCTCATGGTTTGAGGGTCCAGTCCATTGTCACTTGACTCTGAGTTTCGAGACCCACATGAAACAGAGCATTATGATGGCAGTAGCATGAAGCAGACAGGAATTCTGTCAACCTTGGCAGACAGAAAATAGATGAGGGAATGCAGCAAGGGGTCAGGAATAACTACAATTCCCAGGGACACCCCCAGTGACCTGTTTTCCCCAGTTGTCCCACTTCCTCCATTTCACTATCTTATAATAATGTTGTCATATCATGATCCATTAGAGAATTAATCCATTGATTAGGTCGGACCTATGAGGCTCCAGTAACTCCCAAAAGTCCATCAGCTGGCAGCCAAGCCACCAATATACGAGCCTCTGAGGACATTTCAGATTCAATTAAAATGCCAAGGTATTTTAAGGGGTGGGATGTTTGGGAAGTGGTTGAATCATGAGTCTTCTGACCTCATTAATGGGTTAATTCACTTATGGGTTTTCATAACTTAATAAACTGTTGGGAGATACTGGAAACTTTAAGGTGTGGAACCTACGTGGAGGCAGTAGGTCACAGGGACAGGCCCTTGGAGGATATATTTTGTCTCTGTCTGCTTCCCCAGGCCTCTTTCTTTCCTCTGCCCTACCAGAGCTCCCCACTATCGTGTTTTGTCTCACCTATGGGGGTCTGTCGGGGAAAGTGACCATGGACAGAAATCTCTGAAACTGTGAGCCAAAAAAATCTTCCTTTCAAAATTGTTTTCCTCAGCTATTTTGTTACAACAAAAGTTGTTTTAGGCACAGGTATATTTCAGGAATTTTCACAGTGAGTCCAGCATATCACCCCAAATCCCTTAAGACTGAGGTCTAAAACCAAGGAGAGAAGAGCTGTGACCTCCCTATCAAGAGAGGGAATATTCTAATGAGACAGTTGTGTCCTTCCCTTCGGCTATCAAGCTAGTGACACAATGAATCCCAAAGAATCAACATTTGCTCAGAAATCCCAAGCTGGGGACGGGAATGTCTAAAGCCTAGTGCAAGTCAGAGAAGCTTGCCTCCCAGGAAGAGATTTCACACAGTTCTGACACTTACCAGACCACCTTGCAAGAGAGATCAGAGACAAGATGGGCCATGGAAGGGCAGGAGTAAACTGAGACCAGCACTGATTGTCATGCTTTCCTTCCACTTAAAGCTCAGCCTCATGTCAGAATCCTCTAAGACAGACTTCCTTTTCCCAATGTGGCCCCATTAAAAAAAATCTAATCTCCTCTCTCTGCTTTTTATAAACAACAACAAAAACCCTAATATAAGGATATATCCAGAAGTAAAGCAACCGGGACCAGAAAAAAAAATCTGTATCCCAGTTCAGGGAATTTCTCGACATGTTTCTCAAGGAATGCTGTGAACTCTCTCAGGTCCGGAGCTGTGTAAGGTGCACCTTGTACCATGAGGATTGCACTGTAAGTGCCCAGAGTGAAAGACCACAAGCTTTGGAGCCGAAGAGACTTTATTTAGGAACCTAGCTCTGCTTCTTGATAGCTGGGCATATCCGGAATTGTTAACATTTCGGTTTCCTCATTTGAAAAGTATAGGGAATCAAACCCTCGGTGCTGATGCTGGGGTTAATGAGGCAGGGGCGTCATGGTCCCTGGGAAACACCTACATGATATTTGCCTTCTCTTCTTCTGTCAAGGGGTGTTTGCTAAATGAATGAGCAACACCCCCTCTCCTCAGAGCATTTTTCTTGGGTTAGATCATTCCCTTGTGCTGCTTTCCTTTGGCTTGGAATGGCAGGGTCTGCGCACACTATTTGCAGAGAGCTACAATCCCCCTCATGTTCTCAGCCTAAAAAAAACTACTTCCTCTAAATTAACCCACCCAGTCTAAATTAGGTCTGCTTCTTACGTTCTTCCACGAACCTCTGTGGAGTTTTCCCTCTGATCACATCATAATTTGTAATGATACATTTAACTGGATGACAGTCTAGTCAATCTATTTATTCATTCATCCATTAAATAAAAATATTTACAGAGTCCTAGGTACCATGTTATAGGTGCTAGAGATAAAAGCAATAAACAGCATCAACAAAAATTCCCACCTTCTATGTTTTAACTTAATGAAGCGATACTTGATAAAGACAATACTAGATATAATAAATAACTATACAAAGCGTTAAAAAGTCATAAGTGCTATGGAAAAAAACAAAGCAGAGTAAAGGGACTGCATGTCAGCTGGATGAGACAAGGACGGGAGACTTCCATTTCAATAAAGTGTTCGGGTTTACCCTCATTGAGAAGCTGCTTCAGCAAAGACTTCAAGGAGACAATGAAGGCAGCTACTGGATACCTAGAACAAGAGTTTATCTGATGGAGCAAACAGCCTGTGCAAAGGCCCTGGGTGAGAGCATGCCTGATGTACCTTAGGATCATTGGTGAGGAGAAAAGAAAGGAGACAGGGCAGGAGAGGAGACCAGAGAGGTGTTGAGGACTCAGATATAGTAAAGCTGTGTGGAAGAATACAAAGATTTGGGGCTTCACCCTTCAATGCTAGATAGCACTGAATGTCTACCACTGTATAGGGGGAGCCCAGCACCATCCCTGGCCTAAGCAAGTCATCAATATGAATTAACCAAGTGAATGGATGAGCTACACAAGAGTTTGTGGGCATCTGAAGCAGGAATCATGAATTGGAAGGTTGAAAGTCGTGGCTCAGCAGCTTCTCGATGGAATGGACCTTGGAAGATCATCTTTGTGTCTCTGAGCCTGATTCTCCCTTAATACAATGACGATTGTATAACCAGCCATCTCCAACAGACTGGCTCAGATAAAACATGCAGGCTATGTACTTCAAGTGTGACAAAGATGAGAGGCCATCATCTGGGCTTTTAAGCCAGACCAGTGCTTCTCAACTCAAGCCCTGTCTCACTTTAACTGATCACCAAGTCAATTTGGTGGGTCTTGGTCATTTTTTTAAAGAAAGAAAAATTAAGTAAAAATTAGAATTGAAAACAGCCTAGAGGGGGTCAGAGTCCCCTGTACATAGCACCAGTAAATATGATTTTGTGAAATGTGGAATGGGTCATGTTAGTTGGTAAGGCTGAGCTTCACAAGAGGTTTCACAAGAGCCATTGTGAAGGCTATAAACACAAGAGAACAGGGGAAATGTAGCATAAAAACAAGAGAACGGGGGAAATGTAGCATAAAAACAAGAGAACGGGGGAAATGTAGCATTGAATTTCCAGCTCTGAGCTTAATAGAGGAGTTGAAGCATCATTCCACTGCTAATTTGCTGTGCATTGCTAAGCAATTATTTAACCTCTCTGGTCTCCAACTATCTCTTCATCTATAAAGTGGACATTCTTAACTTGCCTATTGTATACTAAACAAAATGGCATATGTAAACAGTCCTAGAAGATGCTGGTTATAGAACAAATGTTTAATACATCATTTAAAGAAAAAAAATCTTCCTTACAGTAAATAAAATTTTATCTTACATCCATATAACTTATAGGAACTTATGTGCTTGTCAAGTATGTATATTAATAGTTATTACACTAACAATAATGAAATGAAGCCACCATGATCTGGCACTTGCTCTGCTACCAAGTTAAGTGCTTGTGATAGTTTGAATGAAAAATGTCCCCTATGGGCTCAAGTATTTGAACACCTGGTTGGTGGCGCTGTTTGGGGGAGGTCACAGAACCTTCAGGAAGTGTGGTCTTGCTAGAGGAAGTACGTCACTAAGGGTGGGCTTTGAGAGTTCACAGCCTAACCCCGCTTCCAGATCACTCTCTCTGCTTCACGTTTGCATTTCAAGGCACAATCTCTCCACTTCCTGTTCCTGCCACCATGCCTGCTCCATACTGCCGTGTCTCCCTGCTATGACGGACCCTTAGCCCTTTGGAACCATAAGCCAAAAATAAACTCTTCCATAAATTGCTTTTGGTTTGGGGGTTTTATCACAGTGACAAAAAGAAACTAATGCAGCA